GGGCAAACTGGATGGGTTAAAGTGACAGTAGGACTGACCCCCGGGTCATGAACGTTCAGGATACCGACCTAAGGGTCTTCCTCGTCGGTTCAATGTCCGACCTCGCTGGCCAAACAAGTCGCTTATTTGTTGATTCCATATCAATAGCGAACAGATCACTTCTATCCAACTAGGAGGGGCACGGATAGGCTCGGCCACGCCAGCCTAACCGCCCCCCAGGAGGTTAGAGAAGCCAGATCCCCGAATAAATTGCTAAGTATTCGTAATGCAAAGTATAGAAAAGGAAACATATGAATTAAAAGGTAATATTCATTCGAATTTTACATATGGTGGCTACAAGCTACAAAAAAAAAGGTGCAACAGTCATGGCCGGATGTTCCCATGGCCATCAAGTACAATGATCCAGACACGGGAATTACTAGAAAGCTTAAGGAACTCTCCCAGAATCTGAAAGTCAACTTAGTCATCACCATGGTCAGTCCACTCTTGGCCGTCTCTCAGGTACTACGCCACCATCAACTGGCGACTGACGCCCAAGTACTATGTCGCAATCAACTTACATTGTTGGGCACTCCTGAGGGAAAGCCTTGACCGCCGTTTCCGCGATAGGGGCGCTTGCCGCCTTACATGCTTCGAAGTCCGAACTGGAAGGAAGGCTCCCCGCCGTGGGGCTCTCTCGTCCTCATGATCCTTCACACGTTCGGGGATCTCCGTGAGGGCATGAGAACCAGCAATTGCCTTGGTGCTTGCTGCCGTGAACAAAATCTTCAGCAGGTCATCCCGAGCGTTGAGACCCTACAGACAACATAAAGTTATCATCAGAATATTAAAAAAAAAACGAAAGTGAATCGGTAAGGGTGAGGTCAGCCTCTCTCTTTTCGATTCCCCTTTTCACGAAGCTCCCATATGGAGTACATGGGAGGTAGGGTTTTCACCATTATCGATCAATGTTCCCGGCGCGTCCAACCCACACAAGACGATGGCATCGGACCACAACCAGCAAGGCACAATCACCCGACCTACAGGCTACAGAAAGGAAATTATGGGTTGTAAGGGAGCCTCCAACCTTTTCCTACAAAAAAGAATATTCAAGTGGGAAACAAAGGAAATACAAAATACAAGGTCGTAGCCAAGCGGACCCAGCACCATCATGTCCAATGGTCTAAACACGGGAGCGGCTAGGAACCTCAAAGAGGTCTCTTGGAATCCAGACTCTAGTGCCATCCCCTCCACGGTTGTTCTCACCATAATGATTCTTTAAGCACTTGGGAAGACCTAGCCGAGGCATGGAATTGTCTCGCTGCCTGTCTGAGCGTCCTTCACCTTGTCAGACCCCGGCATTGAGTCATGCCGATCTTGGATGCCGTCCGCCCGAGCGCCGTCATCCTGGACGGTGGCGCTGGACCCCTGCGCTTGCGTGATCTCTGTCACTGCCAAGCAAATTTTGGCGGCAACAACCCTGCCACCCAGAGGAAGAAGAGCATCAGGGCGATCGCCGGACAACGCGAAACCCCAAGGAATAGAGACTTCAGCCTGGTCGCCTGACCGCCTGACCGCCAGGTCGCCTGGCCGATTTGCCGCCCGAACGTCTGACTGCTTGGCCGCCCGGCCGCTTTGCCGCCTGGCCGCGTTGCCGCCCGACCATCTGGCCGCCTGGCCGCCTGGCCGCCTGGCCGCCCAGCCGCTTTGCCGCCCGGCCGCTCGGCCGCCTGCTTCCAGGGAGGTGACGATGCCATCCAACCCGGGGGGCACCCAGCCGCCTGGCCGCCTAGGGCTGGATGCACACACACATGCAGGAAGTCGAGGAAAGAAAAACGAAAGAAAGCAAAGTATAGAAAAAGAAACGTATGATACAGGATTTAATGTTGAATTAAAGGTTACATCTGCCACGCAGCAAACTATTCAAAAATAAAGTAAATTACAAGGTTGATGGACATTGTTCATGGGAGTTGCTGGGAATCTCAAGGAACACTCCTGGAATCTGAATTTGGCATGGTCTTCATCATGGTTGTTCGCCTCTCGGTAGGTGGTCACCGAATTCAGTGGAGATCTCTCGTCATCGGAACCTTGGCCGCTAGGGACATCACTCCTTAGGAGCCAGGGTAGCCACGGAGTCCTCAAATTCTGAAAACAATCCAGCCAGACGAGAAGCAACACCCAAAACCTGGAGTTCAGCTGGCCTCGAATTAACATCCGCGATTAGCTGGCCAGGAATCCGCCATCACCGCCTGGAGGCCGTCGCCTACCCCTGTCGCTCAACGATCATAAGTGGACGCAACAAAGATAGCTATCACCGACCTAGAGAAAGACATGCAAGAATAACGGTTAATCACCCGAACCAAAAGCTACATTGCCGCCATAGGAGCTGCACTTCTGACTCCCTCAAAGACCCGGCTGCCGGCACTGTAGTCCGGGTGTCCCACAGGCTGGGAATCAACGCCGGATTCCAGAGATTAGCACGGGATGGCCACCGGATATCGGGGACAACAGTTGACAGCAGAAGCGCGCGGCGGCAGCTCACCGGACAACCTGAACACCGGAAGGAGGGTCAACTCCATCTGGCCTGGGGGGCGCCTGACCACCTGGCCGCCAGTTTCCTGGGCGACGCTGGCCGGCAGGGCGTGGCCGCCGACCCCTGTGTGATTTGCGCCAGCCGAACATATGAGCCCAGACGCACCGACCAGATTTGCCGAACTGCAGGGGGGAAGTCAGCCGCTGGCGGGTGGTGCGGAACAGCCGTTGGGCGCAGCAGGGACCGGCCCTGTGGAGCCGCTGGGTCACAGACGGCAGCCGCCCTTGGAGGCAATCGGTCAGTTGCGGCACTGGGGCTACGCGAGGGAGACGCTCGCAGGTCGCAGGAGAGAGAGGAAAGAGAAGAAAGGAAAGAAAAAAAGAAGGAAAGAAAAGAAAAGGAAAGAAAAAAGAAAAGGAAAGAAAAAAGAAGGAAAGAAAAGAAAGGAAAGAAAAGAAAGGAAAGAAAAGAAAAGGAAAGGAATTTTCGGGAGCTGACCTGGATTCTGATGTCCGGAAGAAAATTGACGGCTGGAGTGCTAGGATGCTGAAGAAATTTATTTGGAGCCTTTTTTGGGAGCCTGATTTAATTTGGGAATTTCCATAAACTCCGGGATTCACATAATCCGCAATTATGGTTCCTTGATATGTGAATATTTTTAAATCGGCAGCTGACTTAAACTACTCCCTCTTAGCCGAGTCTACTACTCGACTAAGGGAGTGGGGGACTCGTGATGGGGTTATGGGACTAGGTCCAGAGCCTAATCGGCTCATGCCCCGGACTTGGACCAGCAGGCCCAAACCCAGTGATCCAGAGCTCATTCCGACCCAACCGATCAGGCCCATCAAAGAGTGAAAGCCCAGGGCGACCTGTCGTCTAGCCCAACAGGGAGCCTGCCTACCAGCCCAGTCAGCAGCCTGCCTTCCAGCCTACCCGAGAGCCTGCCTTCCAGCCTACCCGGGAGCCTGCCTTCCAGCCCAGTGGGGAGTCTGCCGTCCAACCCAGCAGGGAGCCTGCCTACCAGCCCAGTCAGCAGCCTGCCTTCCAGCCTACCCGGGAGCCTGCCTTCCAGCCTACCCGGGAGCCTGCCTTCCAGCCTAGCCAGGAGCCTGCTGACCACCAGCCCAGCTGGGGGCCTGCGGTCCAGCCCAGCTGGGGGCCTGCGGTCCAGCCCAGCTGGGAGCCTGTGGTCCAGCCCAGGTGGGAGCCTGCCTCCAGCCCAACGGGGAGCCTGCCTTCCAGCCTACCCGGGAGCCTGCCTCCAGCCCGGTCAGAAGCCTTCCTCCAGCCTAGCGGGAAGCCCACCGTCCAGGCCAGCAGGGGGGAGCTCAAGCGTCCAGCCTGCCAGCCAGGCTGACCTGCCAGCCAGTAAGAGTAACGGCCAACAATCAATGCGCGACTTAATTATGTGTTTAATTCCGTATTAATGTTGTAATTAATTTAGTCATTATTATGTTCGACAGTTACCATTTGTAATCGCCTATAAAAGGCAATTCGAATTTCAAATACAGAGATGCTATTTCTGGCTAACTTTCCATATTCGTACTTTCCCAGTTCTTGCTTGAGTGTCGTACGTAGCTTTCCTAAAAGCCTACGAGCGTCCTATTTTGGACCAACAACATGTTAGGAATAATTTTCCGCAGTAAATTTCCGCAATGAAATCTGAACAAAATAAATCATAAATAAGTATTTTAACTATTAATGATCGAACTTGGTCAAACATGTTCAAATGTGTTAAAACTCAATCGAATGAAAGTAGTCAAACGCAATAGAGTATAACCAATTAGGTCCAAACTTCAAACTGAGCACATGACAGAACATCGTCAAACTAGTTCAAACTTAGAATGGAAATTGGTAAAACTGGGTTGGCTTGATGTCGGAGTACATTAATTTAATTGTCTGCTCTTTATTCGACTTTGCCGAATCTTCCTCTTTAATGTTAGGCTTATCTTTCACCGGTGGAATTTCACTCGCTTTTATAAGCCTTCACCAGGTCATCCTCTTTAATTTTACACTTATCTTTTACTTGTGAAATTTCTTCCATTTTGCGAAACCTTTGCCTTCATAACTTTCTACTCATAATCGATTACAAAAGTATTAGATCGAAGATCTTTCGATATTCCAGTAGACTGGTACTTTCTATTCTCAAATTTGAGACCACCACGATATGCTCCAAATTAGGGTTGGGGAAAAATACCGAAACGGCCGAAATACCGCTCTTACCGTGGTGTAAGATATCAATTTTACCGAAATTTTTCCTTACCGTAAATTTTGGTAAGGTATGTTACTGTACCGAACTATTTCGGTACGGTATCAGTATATACCGTATTAAATTTTCGGTATACCGAAATACCGTAATACCATATATATATATATATTTATTTATTTAGTTATAAATTTTGTCTCTTGGGCCAAAAACAGCCCACTGCCCCAATCCAAAGTTCGGCCAACTAGGCCGAATATTAGCCTAGTTCGGCCTAAATCCAACCAAAGTCTGCGAACTGTGAGTCTCTAAAGTCCAACGTGGCCGTGTGGTCTGCGAAGGACTGGAAGGGTTTCAGAGGTCTCCACTCTCCAATACGCAATTGAGCTCGCGGTGGCGAGTATTCGTCGAAGAGCTCCCGACGGCGAGTAGGCGTCGAAGAGTGGAAGCATAGGAGAGGCAGCGGCCGGGCGTGGAAGCATCTGTTTACTCTTCTTCAAAACCATTTACCCCTTCCCATACGAAAAGGTATAACGTCCTAACTCACTGTCTTTTGATTTGGTAGAATATACATTTTGTTTCTCCATGATAGTCTTCATCGAATCTATGAGTGAGTGAGTGACACCATGAAGATGTACTAGCTTGTTACTAGTACGGAGTAGTTTTTAATGAAGAATGCACTTGAAAAACTGTTTTTTGAAGTTTGCTACCTCGTATTTTCTGAGGGTTGCTGCCTCGTATTTTAATTGTGAGGCAGGCCGCATGCAGTACTTGTTATGTATGACAGACGACAGTTAAAATTTTGTCTATTTATTCCCAAACTTGTGGTGGGTTTCCTATTTCTTGCAAGCCCAGATGACCCAAAGGTGGAACTGGGAATGTCTTTTGCCAAGTTCAAATGATGTGTGGTATTTTCAGTTGTGTCATTTTACTTATCCAGATTTCTGAATTTAGCAGAAGAAAACAAAGTCTGGGATATCACACGCTTCCACTAAAAGATATACTCCTCTTTCACTTGCGTGATGATGACCAAGCTAAGCCATTTTACATGTAATTTGGTCCTTGATATACCAAATCTCCCTGATCATGACCCTGACTATAATGGGTCACACTTATATACCAAATCCATTTTATATGTATTAATTAATGTATAGTTTTATTATAATAGGTTATCATATTATTGCACATATTGTTGAAAAAGTCATCTCACACACATATTACTAGCTTGTCTGAGGGTTGCTACCTCGTATTTTCTCTCTTTGTTTCTAGGTTGTTTCCACTTTCTAAATTGTTTGCAGTTTGCTTTCTGATAGGTTCTTTCCACTTTCTAAATTGTTTGCAGTTTGCAGTTTGCAGTTCAGCATGAATGCAGGTCATGTCAATTTTATACGTATAATATCAGTTGTTTTTTTACTTATATTATATATACTTATGTTTTTTTACTTGTCTGGATGAATGGAGGACGTTCAGTAATCTTTAGCTCTACATATCCCCTTAATTGTCCATGGTATATATTATCACTAATTTAGTTAATAAAGGATGGGCGAAGTATTCTATGTATCTGTCTTCCTAAATCACCATTTCACATAAATTTGACTTATTTGCTCTTTTTACTATTTGAACAATTGTATTAGCTTTCATCTTTCTAAATAATTTCATGTTACATTTCACCTTTTTTGTTGTCCTAGTCTATGCCATTGGATTGGTAGAACATTTTTCTCTCTTATTGTCATCCTGTCATTCTTCTATAAGCTTTTTCAACAATGGAATCTGGTTTTCCTGCATACAATCAAAACCAGGATAATTCGTGTGCGATGCTTCAGTCTTTCACATGGATTATTAGGTTTTGGTTTTATGCCGGATCTGCTGATTCCCTTTTTGGAAAATGGCAAGTCTAAATTCTGTGCCGGCCCACTAACTGTGCAACTATAATGACAATGCAACTACAAAACATATATACTTTGCAAATACCAAAATGGCAAAATGCATCATAGAAGTAAATTGCATATTTATTGTCCAGTTCATGTTTAGGGCATGTTTTCAATTTCATTTCTACCTATGTATTGTTAACAATATGTTATAGCCCAAACAAAACCAAAAGTAATAAATAAGTAAAAAGATAGAAAATTAAAAATGGGATTGCCTGTAGCCAATTGTTCTCAATCAACATAACAAAGAAACATCCCAGTTATAAGCAATCTTCCATTCATTACTAACAAGATAAAATCAGTACATTTTATCTTTCCAGCTTGTACTTTAGTCACTCCGAGATCACAAACATAACATGTTACCATCTAATATATAATGCCCTAGACTGACAACTGACAGATAAAATCAATTTTTTTTTTTGAAAAAATCACCCAAAGCTAGGACAAGGAAATAAAAACAGAAATATCTTGAAATAATTCACCAAAAGCGAAAACGAAGAACCCAAGGATGTAATAAAATGTCCTTAATACAAGCTTTACTTGCTTCTAATAATTCAATTGCATTTTCAAAACTATTTTCATTTTTCTATTAAACTACCAACTTTGTGTAACATCATATTGCTAAAATTGAGTAACTACTATGCATTGCAGCCTTTTCTTGTGTGTAAGGACATTTCATCATCTTATTACTCTGTATAACATTGTCAAAAGGATGTTCTAGTGTGACTCTATATCCTACACTTGAGCCCTTTGTGCGCTACATTGAAATGGATCTCTCAAAATTGTGCTCTTTTTCTAACTTGTCTTGCTACTGTGTCTAGTAGGAGCAAAAAAGAAACAAAAAAGACGAGATCCAGTATCTAAGAAGGCAGCAGCAACCGACTCAAAGGGAAAGAAGCGGCAGGTTTCTCAGAATGGTGAGGAACCCACTGGTTCACGCAAAATGCCAAAACGCGCAGCTGCTTGTTCTAATTTTAAAGAGAAAGCTGTTAAAATATCGGAAAAGTCTTCCATGATAGAAGTAAAGAAGGATCAATGCATTGAGGAAGAGGTTGTAGCCATTCGGTTGACAGAAGGAAAAGATGTTGGTCGACCATGTAGAAGGCTTACAGAATTTGTTTTTCATAATAAGGATGGAATTCCACAACCTTTTGAAATGTTGGAAGTTGATGACCTCTTTATATCGGGTCTTATTTTGCCACTTGAGGACATCGTTGATAAAGAAAAAGCTAGAGGAATCAGGTGTGAAGGATTTGGCCGCATTGAAGAATGGGCTATCTCTGGATATGAAGATGGATCCCCAGTTATATGGGTATCAACAGAAGAAGCTGATTATGATTGTATCAAACCTTCAGGTAGTTATAGAAAACATTATGACCACTTCTTGGCCAAGGCTACTGCTTGCACTGAGGTTTATAAAAAATTGTCAAAGTTATCTGGTGGAAATCCTGACTTAAGTTTGGATGAGTTAGTAGCTGGAGTTGTCCGCTCTATGAGCAGTATGAGGTGTTTTTCTGGTGGTTTCTCGATAAGAGATTTCATTGTTTCTCAGGGTGAGTTCATTTACAATCAGCTAGTAGGGCTGGATGACACTTCCAAGACTGATCAGCTTTTCGTTGAGATCCCTGTTCTTGCTGCGCTTAGGGATGAGAGAAACAAGCAAGAAAATGTTGCTCAAGTACATCGAGTGAACACGGGGGGAACTTTAAGAATAAGTGAAGCAGCAATAATCAGTGAAGAAGATACTACAATTCAATCTGTTGTATCTTCATCTCTAGCAGAGGATGGAGAAGATCTAAAGTTGGCAAGGGTGTTACAGGAAGAAGAGTGTTGGCGTTCAATGAAGCAGAACAGCCGGGGTTCATCTTCTCTATCTAATAAATTTTACATAAAGATCAATGAAGATGAAATTGCAAATGATTATCCCTTACCTGCCTACTACAAAACTTCATATCAAGAGACAGATGAATATGTAGTCTTTGACAGTGGGATGGATACATTTTATATTGATGATCTGCCTCGTAGTATGCTTCATAACTGGGCACTGTACAACTCTGACTCGAGGCTAATCTCATTAGAGCTCCTGCCAATGAAACCGTGTGCAGACATTGATGTGTCCATCTTTGGATCTGGATTAATGACTGCTGATGATGGGTCTGGATACAATTTTGACACCGATGCTGGTCATTCTTCTTCTAATGGTTCAGGGGCATCTGTAGTTGATGGCTTTCCAATTTACTTGAGTGCAATAAAGGAATGGGTGATAGAGTTTGGGTCTTCAATGGTTTTTATATCTATTCGGACTGATATGGCCTGGTATATCATTTCCCTTCCATAAAATTATATGCTTATATATTATGCTCCATTTTAGTTGAACTATATTACTTTTAGGAATGTTTATTAATATTTGCTCCACTTCCATACATTTTATCATCTACTACTTACTTTTTGTATTCTCCTTCCTACCTTTTCACCTTCTTCTTCCTACTTTTTCTACATTTTCATGTGCTCATCCAATTTTTCCATTTTCTCTACGCTATTCACTACTTCAATTTACTCATAAATTCCATGAAAAGTCTGTTGGTACAACTAAAAACATGGAGGGATAATGTATTATGTTGTGTTACATTTCATCATGTTTCATTACATTTTGTTCTTTATTTTCTCTAACTTTGTATTACAGTATTCTTCTGCTGTCATTTTCAGTCCATTGTAATGGCCGACCATATGTTTATTTGATAATATGTCACCTGTTGAGCATTATGCTTTTTATTCTTTAATCATAAGTGTGTGTCACTGGCGTTAACTTATAGTCCTATTATCTTATTTTATGACTTAGGGAAATGAACCTGCTTGTTTTCCTAAGATGGTTGATGGAAGTGTCTTAGCTTCTTTCAGGTACAGGCTTGGAAAACCATCGAAGCAATATGCACCTTGGTATCAACCAGTTCTTAAAACTGCTAAGCTAGCTGTCAGTATAATCACTATGTTGAAGGAACAGAGCCGGGCAGCAAAACTTTCATTTGCAGATGTGGTTAAAAAGGTCTCAGAGTTTGAAAGAAAAAACCCTGCGTATTTATCGTCAAATCCAGCTATCGTAGAAAGATACCTAGTTGTGCATGGGCAAATAATTTTGCAGCAGTTTTCTGAATTCCCAGATGAACACATCAGAAAGTGTGCGTTTGTTGTCACTCTAAGCAGTAAAATGAATGAGAGGCACCACACCAAGTGGCTGGTTAAGAAAAAGAAGCTTGTGCAACGGAATGAGCTAAACTTGAATCCCAGAGCAGGAATGGCACCTGTTGTATCTAAGAGGAAGGCCATGCAAGCGACTACGACTAGATTGATTAACAGAATATGGGGAGAATTTTATTCAAATTATTCAGCAGAAGAGTCAAAAGAGGTGATTGTTGGTGAAGTTAAAGACGACGATGAAGTTGAAGAGCAAGAGGAAGTTGAAGAGCAAGATGAAATTGAAGATGATGAAGCTCCAGAGGGGGATAATTCAAAAGTTCTAGACAAAACTGGTAAGCCTTGCCCTGCTAGTAGGCCAACTAAACCTTGCTCTGCTACCAGGCCAACTAAACCTTGCCCTACTAGCAAAGAGATAGAATGGGATGGTGAGTCAATAGGTAAAACTGCTTCTGGTGAACATTTGTATGGAAGGGCTAAGGTTCACGACAATGAGATTGCAATCGGGGGTGCAGTTCTGGTCGAGGATGATGAAGTAGATATGCTTTCGACCATTTGCTTTGTGGAATACATGCTTGAGAAGTTGAATGGCAGAAAAATGTTGCATGGCCGTATATTGCAACGTGGATCTGAAACTGTACTGGGGAACACAGCTAATGAGAGGGAACTTTTCCTTACCAATGATTGCATGGATTTAGAACTAGAAGATATCAAGCAAACAGTAGTTGTTGATGTACGGGTGATTCCTTGGGGACATCAGCATAGGAAAGCTAATGCTGATGCTGATAAGGAAGATAGAGAAAAAGCAGAAGAACGGGTGAGGAAAGGATTGCCTACTGAGTATTACTGCAAGAGCTTGTATTGGCCAGAAAAAGGTGCTTTCTTTAAGCTCCCTTATGAGACTATGGGCCTTGGTTCTGGTTTATGCCATTCTTGCAAGGTGCAGAGCTGTGATGAGCACAAGGACATTTTCAAATTGAATGCATCCAAGACCTGTTTTGCATACCAGGGAGTTGAATATTCAATTCATGATTTTGTGTATGTCAGTCCTCTTCAATTTCCTGCAGAGAAGGTTGAGACTGGAACGTTCAAGGGTGGGAAAAATGTAGGCTTGAGGGCTTATGCTATATGTCAATTGATTGAACTTCTTGGTCAGAAGGGGTCTAAAGAAGTTAAAATTGATTCAACTGAAGTTAAGATCAGAAGGTTTTTCAGGCCAGAGGATATTTCCGCAGAGAAAGCTTATTCTTCTGATATTCGTGAGGTATTTCTGAATTTTATTTTTGTAAAGTTGGTTTGTTAGAACTAAAGAATAAATGTTTCGTTCTTACTCTGCATTTCATTTTAATATGCAAATATTGCTGGTGATCTTTACAGATTTATTATAGCGAGGAAACACATGTTATTCCTATATGCATGATTAAGGGCAAGTGTGAAGTAAGGATGAAACAAGATCTCCCACCTGTTGATTTATCTCCAATCTTCGACCATATTTTCTTCTGTGAGTGCCTCTATGATCCATCCAATGGTTCACTTAAGCAGGTATCATTTCTTTGCATGTCTAGTAACACTTCTGGTTCTGTCTACAACTGTTTGATTTTCATGATGCAGATGTGTAGTTCAGTTATCTACAATTCTATAAATGATGCTAGACAATTTTATTGGTTTCTAGTTCGTTAAAGTTAGTGTTTACAGAGGTCTGCGCTCTTTAATCAAAAGTGATATTTATCTTTATGTGAACAGTTGCCATCTAATGTAAGAATAAGGTACTCAGAACCGAAGCTGGATGATAAAGCTATGTCTAGGAAGAGAAAGGGAAAAGGCAAAGCAGTGCAAAATGATATCTTGGAAGAGAAACAAGAAACATCTCAGGAAAACCGCCTAGTTACATTAGATATCTTCGCGGGATGTGGAGGCCTCTCTGAGGGGCTGCAGCAATCAGGCAAATTTTCTCCCCTTGTTGTCACTCAACAATATCACAGTATCTTCCTTCTGATAGTTATCTCAGTGCTTACCTTATTTCCTTCTACAGGTGCCTCACTTACTAAATGGGCAATCGAGTATGAAGAGCCTGCTGCAGAAGCCTTTAAGCTCAACCATCCGGAGGCACAAGTGTTTGTGCATAACTGCAACGTGATTCTTAGGTCAGCCCCCATAGAGTCTTTCTATATTTATTATATATTCATATGCAAGTCATTCATTCATTTCTATGTATGACTAGCAGACTCATGCCAAGCTGACATCACTAACCAAGTAAATTGCTTTAATGCCAGGGCAATAATGAAAAGATGCGGTGATGATGATGATTGTGTGTCAACAAAAGAGGCCTCAGATCTAGCTGCAGTCATGGATGAGAATGAAGTTAACAGTTTGCCTCTGCCAGGACAAGTGGATTTCATCAATGGTGGGCCTCCTTGTCAGGTGGGTTTAACCAATCTGGCTTGCAGCCCTTGTATTGTTTTTAACTCTTATAAACTAAGAATATCTCTTTTGCAGGGTTTTTCTGGAATGAATAGATTCAATCAGAGCACCTGGAGTAAAGTGCAGTGTGAGATGATTCTAGCATTCTTATCCTTTGCCGATTACTATAGGCCTAAGTACTTTCTCCTGGAGAATGTAAGAAATTTTGTGTCTTTCAATCAAGGGCAGACATTTCGCTTGGCTGTAGCTTCACTGCTTGCGATGGGCTATCAAGTAAGATAGATGTTTTTCTAAAACATTGGGAATATGTGTGTGTGTGTACTATGATGTTTCTACATAAAATATCTGATGCTATATGTACTTCTGGTCAGGTGAGGTTTGGTATACTGGAAGCTGGTACGTATGGAGTTCCACAGGCTAGGAAGAGAGCATTTATATGGGCTGCGTCCCCAGAAGCGGTTCTCCCTGATTGGCCTGAACCCATGCATGTTTTTGGTGTCACAGAGTTAAAAATCAACCTGTCAAAGAATGTACAATATGCTGCTGCACGGAGTACTTCTAATGGAGCACCATTCCGTTCTCTCACCGTTAGAGATACTATTGGAGATCTCCCTGCTGTTGTCAATGGGGCATCGGTACCCAATATGGAGGTCAGTGTAACAACATAGGTAGTATTGTGCTTGCTTTTGCTTTTGAGAAGTGATTTACTTTATAGATTATAGAGAAAGGCTTAATTTTATAAGTTGTTACTTGTTACTTGTTAGTGCTTGAAAGTAAAAGTTAAATCTAAGTTGGAGTGATTGCCAAAAATGTGTTTTTGGGTGTACAAGATAAAATATTATAAAGAAAAAGTGAAAAGCATTTTTAAATGCCCTTTCTCCTCATAGATTTTTAGTTTTTGTAGTATTTGAATTTATTTGAAAGTGAAAAGCATTTTTAAATGTCCTTGTGCTGGCAGTATCGAGGTGATCCTGTCTCATGGTTCCAAAAGAAAATCCGTGGGAATGCAATTGTGTTATCTGATCATATTTCTAAAGAGATGAATGAGCTTAATCTGATTAGATGTCAACGGATCCCCAAGCGTCCTGGATCTGATTGGCGTGACCTTCCAGATGAAAAGGTATTATCAGCATAACCAAATAGGGTTCTCGTGCCATTATTTTTTGGATTTAAACTAATAATTCTCTGGGGTTGTTTGAAGGTGAAACTGTCAACTGGAGAAATGGTTGATTTAATACCTTGGTGCCTGCCCAATACAGCTAAGAGGCACAACCAGTGGAAGGGGCTGTTTGGAAGATTGGACTGGGAAGGAAACTTCCCTACTTCCATAACTGACCCACAGCCAATGGGTAAAGTAGGAATGTGCTTTCACCCAGATCAAGACCGTATTGTCACTGTTCGTGAATGTGCTCGTTCTCAAGTAAGTCCTTTTTTAATGGGAACTACTGAAGGACTCAACTCAGTCACCCACTCACCCTTGTGGTCTAACAAAATAGTATTTTACTCAGCTAGATGTCATATGTGTTTGGATTCCACATGGAACCTCAACAGGGCTTTTGGATTTTCAAAAGTGATTTTGATTTTCAATTGCTTATTGTTAATTGTGTAGCCCAGTAAGCAATTTCATAAAGCTTCAAAGGTCTTGATTGATTGGTTTAAGAAATTGGAAGGGGAATGATGGTAGGATTAATTTGTGTTGTTAACCAAACAAGCCCTACAAGTTGGTTTTGCAAAAGCTAATCTGAGTCGTTCTTTGAATGTAACTTTAACTTTTGAATGTGCTCTAAATTCATTCATTCTTAAAGCTATGTTGAGTTGCATCCCAAACAACTTTCACTTTATCGCCCTTCTATCTTTCAAGAACTTCAAGAATGTGTCCAAACACTAATTGTATTAAAATATTTTTGCTCAAATGGTATTGAAAAATGAAATTCCAATAAACTAACTTTTCCACAACTGAAATCCAAAATTGCATTCTATGTTCAGTTTGATTCTTGGTAAAGTTTGTCAACCAATGTGCTGTGTTTTGTTTACTGAGTTGCTATAATTATAATTGCAGGGTTTCCCAGATACCTATCAGTTTGCTGGTAACATTTTGCACAAGCACAGGCAAATTGGAAATGCAGTTCCTCCACCTATGGCATATGCTTTGGGGAAAAAGCTGAAGGAAGCCATTGATGGTAGAAATTAGAACACGGCTTAGGTCTTATTTTACTGGTTTCTGAGATTGCATTTCCCATCTGTCAAACCAGAGAACTTAAATCTACGTGCTTTGTAAATTCTCTTAGTTAGAGGTTATTTATATTTCCTCTGATTTTTTGTACTAAGAGATGAACCTTGAGGCCAATGCTTTTGAGTTAGTGGTAAATATGTATAAGCAAAAAATGCATGTGGTACTGTGGTAGCTTCTGGGGGCACAGCTGGTAGCTTGTTCGGCTAAGGGGTGGATTCGGGCCGGGTCCGGGTCCTGGTCGGGCCTAGGTAGGCATGGACTCGGCCTGGGTCAGGCCCGGGCCTAGGCCTGTCCGGGCCGCCGGTCTGTAAGTGATGGGCCAAGGACCGGCCTGAGGTTTGGACGGTTCCAGTTCAGGCTGGGCCACCCGCCTAGGAGTGGACTCGGGCCGGGCCAACCGGCCCGGGCCCGGCCCGGCCCGCTACTGTGCGGCCCGGCCCGGTGAACCGGTATGTGCCTGGTTCGGGTCACCCCTTTCATGAACTGAGGCCCGGCCGGGCCCAGGCCCGAACTGAGCCTGAACCGGAACCGGTCCACCCCTACACCTGCCCCGGGTCACGGGTCGGGCCGGTTAAATCCATTTTTTTAATAATTTATACTTTATAGTTTTATACAAGTATTAAAAACAAACTTCAAGTGCATTTATTTGAAATGAAATAGAAACTATATTTGACCAATTACAATTGAGAATTGAAGGTAAAATTAAAACATGAAATACTAATCAATTAGAATCTCCGTAATAGGTAGAACTATTCTCGGTTGTAGATTCATCCATAAAGTGTTGTGATTAGAGTTGGACTCGGGTTGGGCCACCCGGCCCGTGGACCGGCTTGGCCCGCTACTGTGCGGGACCGGGACCGGCCTGGTTCTCGGGTCCGGGTCCGGGTCCGTGTCGGGCCTAGGCCCGGGGGGTAGGGCGGTTTGGGCTCGTGTCTCACATTTGGCGAACCGGCCCGGCTGTGACGGGCCTGGTCCAAATTGATTTTTTTTTTTCATTTTTGGGGTTCCACCCGGGTTGGGCTTGATGGTTAGGATGGGTTTGAGGGGGTTTGGGAGGGTGGGGTGGGGGGGGGGGGGATGAGGGGGGGTTAGGAAAGCAAAAAAAAAAATACCCAAACCGGTGGCTTGGCCTGGCCCGGACTGGACCTGGTTGCTACCCGGGCCGGTCCCGGGTCCACCATTCTTGAATCGTTGGCCTGCCCGGGCCTAGGCCTGACCTGGACCCGGCTTGGACTCGAGTCCACCCCTAGTTGGGATTGGGTGATGTCAATTTCTTGAGATCTATGAGCTGCCTTCAACCAATCGTGATAGCATATAAGCATCTCAAGAGATTCTGCGCTCAACCTCTTCTACATGGTGTTAGGACATTGCCGGCCGAACTAGATAACTATTTAACTAGTTTTTAAACTAGTTTTTTGTACTACCTATTTTTTTAACTAACAATCAAATTATTATAGTTTAACTAGTTTAATGAAAAACTAATTATTTAACTAGTTTTTAAACTACTTTTTTGTACTACCTATTTTTTAACTAACAATCAAATTATTATAGTTTAACTACTTTAATGAAAAATTAACTATTGAATTAGTTTTTAAACTACTTTTTTGTACTACTTATTTTTTTAACTAACAATCAAATTATTATAGTTTAACTACTTTAATGAAAAATTAACTATTTAACTAATTTTTAAACTACTTTTTTGTACTACCTATTTTTTTAACTAACAATCAAATTATTATAGTTTAACTAGTTTAATGAGAATTAACTAGTTTTTTAAACTAGAGTCAAAGGTAGCAATTAATAAAAAATTGTAATAAAGTAATTAACTACTTTAATGAAAAATTAAACAATTCGTGTGAAAAGTAATTAACTAATCAAGTAATGTTAATACAAAATTAAACAAGTATAAATAATAGAATGATTTCATACCTGTTTCGGTCTTTCGGATGGGAGTAATAGAATGACTTCGAATTAATTAGATATAATTCCAACTATATTAATAGATATAATAAATGTATAAGTAATATATAATTAGATAAGAAATATAAGTAATATAATGTATGTATTTATAAGTAGATAATTAATATAAAGTAGATATATAAATATAATATATTGAAGAATAAGAGAATTTGAGAAGATGAAGATAATTAGAGAGTAGAGAGTTAAGAGTATGATTTAGGAAGAGTTGGGGAAGAGATATGGAAAAATGTTTAAGATTAGAAGTATTTATAAGTGTTTTTTACCACACCCCCACCCCACCCCCCAAACCGCCCGGACCCCCCATGCAGCCCACCCCCAACGGTCAATTGGCCCAAATATTTTTTTTAAATAGAGCCGTTGTGACCCGGACCCGGGCCCGACCTGGCCGGGTCGGGTCACGTTACATAGGAATCGAGCTCGCAACCGCTTAGCCCGGTAGCGGTTCCGGGCCTGCACAGTAGCGGGCCGGTCCGGGTGGCCCGAACCGAATCCATCCCTAGGCCTAGGCCCGGACGGGCCGTCGGGTCTGAATAGGTGGACCCGGGACCGGCCCGGGCCGGGCATCGGGCTTGTTTTTTTGCTTACCTACCTATCCCTGACCCCCACCCCCCAAACCCCGAAACCCCTCTTAAACATCAAGCCCAACCGGGGTGGAGTCCAAAAAATGAAAAAAAAAATTCAATTTGGCCCGAACCGTGTCGGGCCTTGTTTTGGGTGACCTGAGCCCGGACCGGAAACCCCTCGGGTTGGGCCTACCCCGACGGTCACTGACTGGGCCACCGGTTCGGGCCGGGCCGGAACAGTGCTGATCCCGGACCAGTTCCGGGTCGGACCACCCCGCCCGAGTCCACCCCTAGTTCGGTATGGAATGGCTACACAGCTGTTGGAGGCGGAATCACTTTTCTGTTATAAAATTTGCCCCATTTCATTCGTGATCTTTCACTATTTCTATAATTTCAAATTCTCAAATTCTTCATCTTTCGTTCCTCCTCCATTTCTACACATTCTCAAATTCTTATTCTTCATTTCTGAGATTAAGTATTACAATTGCATATTTACATTACTCTAATTACCATTTTCATATACTCCCTCCGTTCTTTATTAACTGTCTCGTATTCCTTTTGGGACGTTTTTAATTATTTGTTCCTCTTTCCTTTTATTGGTATGTTTTTTCAATCAAAATACCCTTTTACCCTCACTTTTATTATCCTTACCCCTTTTTTCTTTCCCACTTTATCATTTAAACACAAACCACTACACCTTTTACATTACCCCTATTATTTTCCTCTTAAAACCCGTGCCAAAGCCTAAGGGGACAATTAATAGAGAACGGAGGGAGTATATATTTATAATATTAGAACAACGACTAGTGTAATACTTTAAAAGACTATTTGTACTAATATTGTACTAAATTTAGTCATCACATTTTATATTGTTATTATTTAAATGATCACAATTCACAATATCACATTATCACTTATGATTGCTAGTTGCTACTATCTCCGTCCCTTAAAACTTTGCCAAATTTGACCGGCACGGAGAATAATAAAGTAAAAACTGTGTGGTTGCGGTTTGTGCAGAGGAGAGAGAAATAACAGAAACCACAAAATAATTGATTAAAAGGGAAAGTGACAAAGTTTTTTGGAACATCCCAAAAAGGAAAGATTTCAAATTTTTTTTAAGGGACGGAGGGAGTATGTCATTTTCATGTCATAATAATAGAGGGTAGTGTAATATGCACAGCTTGTTTCTGTGCTAAAGTTAACATTGTACGGTTGTACTAGTCATTCATATCCTTGTTCACGCGTCTTTATATTTCATTCATACTTTTTTATTAGTATTGCTCTAAAAATTGCTCTAGGGATTGGATTAGTCTTTCTATGTGCTAGCATGGCACCTAGGGGTGGATTCGGGTCGGGCCGGGCCGGGTCCGGGTCGGGCCTAGGCCCGGGCGGGCTTGTGGGTCTGAATAGGTGGACCCGGGACCGGCCCGGGTAGCCACCGGGTCCGGTCTGAGTCCGGGCCGGGCCTCGGGCTTGGTTATTTTTGTTTTTGTTTATCTACCTATCCCCGACCCCCCCTCACCCCACCCGCCAAACCCCCCAAACCCCTCTTAAACATCAAGCCCAACCCGGGTGGAGCCCAAAACAAATGAAAAAAACAAAAAAAAAATCAATTTGGTCTGAACCGTGTCGGGCCTTGCTTTGGGTGACCTGAGCTCGGACCGGAAACCCCTCAGGTCGGGCCTACCCGGACTGGTCACTGACCGGGTCACCGGTTTGGGCCGGGCCGGAACAGTGCCGGTCCGGGGCCGGTTCCGAGTCGGGCCACCAGGCCTGAGTCCACCCCTAATGGCACCCAAGTTTAGTTTAAGCGTCCAAATAATTGGTTTGATGCATAGTTGAATGAATTATTCAGCCTCTTAGGGCGTCTATATTTGCTGAATATTTCTTCTTCTCAAAAAAATATATTCTAATATATATTTTTAACTTTAATGAAGAAAGTTATTTGTCATAAAAACTATATATATTTTAGACATAGTATTTATTATGTAATGAAGTTAAATGATTAGTTAAAGAATTGATCTCAATCAACACAAATTAGTAACTTGAAAAAGTAAGTTCACAAACTGCCCACTCTACTCCATGAAGTCATCAAGAATGGTGGATTTTTTAACAATGGAGAATCACAGCGGACATGAATTTACTCATACTTCTTGTAAATTTTATTCGTCATATGTACCTCAATAGTTTCTTCTTGACATTAATTAAGTTCACTTTTATAATGTTTTTTAGTGAAACAAATTTTAAGTATTCACTTAAATGATAATATATGAGAATATTGAGTACAATATCTAAATATGAATCATCTGATTCTTCACTTGCAATTTGAAATAAATATAATTAAAAAATTTAATTCAAAATTAAATCGTTAATTCTTCAAAAATTCGAACGTTCTTCGGATCTTCGAATCTTCGTTCTTGAGATCTTCGAATCTTCGTTCTTCGGATATTCAAATCTTCTTGTGTGCAGAATTCAGCTTGAAGGGCCTCCGGTTTTCAAGTAGCTTGATTTTCAACAAAAGGACCGTTTTATGGTTTGATCTTTTGTTTAAGGGCTTCCCGAGATATATGGTTTGATCTTCA